TTTTTTTAAAGTACTCCATTTAAAAAGTGGCATTTACCATGTCTTCACTTCTGCTTCACACTGTTTAAATGAAGTAATTTTATTTGAATGTTCACAATCCAAATTAATAAACTATATTTAGCTCATTCCCTCCTCAGGCCCTTTGCACTTGCAGTTCTTTCTACCTATGATGTATTTCTCCTGGCAATTATTTTAAGCATTAAAAATATTTTAAATGATGAAAAATTTACCAAAGCACATTTTCTACTCTCATTTACTAAGTCATAAAAGTTTACTCTGTGCTAGTAAAATATGCAATTCAGTCTTATAAACTACTTAAAACATTTACTGACCAATACACATTCTTCATTTGTTACCTTTGTGTGAGGTACACTTGTACTTAAATAAAATAAATAAAATTGTCTTCAATTTCTCCTATTAGGAGTAGGCAACTGATTTTTCCAAAATTCTTTTTTTTTAATCTCTAAGTAATCAAACGACCAAAAAGAAAACCTGGACATCAAACTACTATTTATTCTAAAAGACTAATGATTTGATTTGAGAGCACCAGTTTATTTCATACTTCCTTTGCAAAAATAGAGGATGGGATGAGAACTTAGCATTATTTCCCATGAGTTTCATATATGACTTTATCATTCACCCTACTAAAAAGGTACCCAAACCACTGCTACATTAAAATTTTCCCATACAACAGACTATAGCAAGGTCTCTCATAAAGGTCTATTTTAAAAAATTACAAATCTTTTGTGAAAGTTTTAGCAGATGTGAAAATCACTTAAGCCCCACTTCTAACAGTATTTTACCTACATCTTACTGTAAATAAAGAGTATGTATTTATTCCCATGTTTTATAATTTTTTTCATATAGTTTTAAAAATAGAAAATATTTTCTAAGGATATTTTTGTAATTGCTTTCACATGAAATGGAGTCTTTAAGAAAGTAACTGAATGAGTAAAAGTACTCAATTGTTTTTAAAAAAACACACAGATGGTAACAATCCATATGCTATATATGTACTTGTTAAATTTTAATGTGCACTGAATCACCTAGAAATCTTGTTAAAATACAGATTCTGATTCAGCAAGTCTGGAATGGAGCCTGAGATTCTGCATTTCTAACAAGCTCCCAGATGTTGCCAATGCTGCTGGCCCAATGGCCACTCTTTGAGTAGCAAGGCATTAAAAAAAAAGACTATTACTTTTGGAACATACTCAAAATGCCTAAGAAATAAAGATGGCAAAAAGCTACATTTAGAAAGTAGAACAGTGAAAAATACTTGACACAATAAATGCTCAACAAATGCTCGCTGAAATAATGAATGAAGCAAAGAATGCAACATATTGTTAAATGTAGAAGCTGAACGATTAACGTTTTTCAGAATTCTTTTTGTTACTTAATCAAAAGTTAATTGAAAATTTTATCCATAGAGCTATGGTAATTCCAAATTGTCCAAGCAGTCATACTCGGCAAGTCATACTTGCCCAAAATCACTGCTCTTGGTATCTCCACTGGTATGATCTTTTTGATACATTTAGGAATGAATGATCAAGACATATGTATAAAGTGATTCAACAACTTTATACATTATGCTGTGTTCACCACAAGTGTAGCTACCATCTGTCCCAATACATCGCTATTACGGTATCATTGACTATATCCCTTATGCTATATCTTTTAATCCCGTGCCTTACTTTATTCCATAACTGGAAGCCTGTATCTCCTACTCCCCTTCACCCATTTTACCCAACCCTCTACCCTCCTCCCCCGGCAACCATTAGTTTGTTCTCTGTATTTAGAAATCTGATTCTGTCTTTGTTTATTCATTTGTTGCTGTTTTTGTTATTGTTTTAGATTCCACTTATGAGTGAAATAATATATTTGCCTTTCTCAGTCTTATTTCACATAGCATAATACCCTCCAAGTCCATCCATATTGTCTCAAATGGCATGATCTCATCTTTTTATGGCTGTGTAATATTCCATCACACACACATACACACACATATTAACCACATCTTCTTTATCCATTTCTCTATTGATAGACACTTAAGTCGCTTCCATATCATGGCTATTATATATAATGCTGCATTAAACATAGGGGTGCATGTATCTTTTCAAATTAGTGTTTTTATTTCCTTTGGATAAACAATCACGGAATTATTATTATATAAATTCTGTGTCAACTGTACTCACATTTAAAAAAAGTTAGCCACCAAGACACTATCAACTCACCTTGTTTTAACTACCTGCATGGCACTTATTGTCTAAAATTACCTTGCTTATTTGCTTTCCTTTTTTCCTTTTTTTTTTTTTTTTTT